AAGCTACTTTTAGAGGTTCTGGCCCAGTGAGGCTGAAGTGACCTGAAATCTGCACTCAACAGGCTTACAAGTAGTGCTGCTAAGGACAGCATCTTGGGAGCCACCGGCCCAGGCTTGGCTAAGCGTTTAGTAAATGCTGACCTAACACTATAGACATTTAAAACTATAATCTCACCAAAAAACACCATCTCACTCTAGGATAGATTGACTAATAACACTAATTCCTACAGAACACAATTAGATAAATGGCAGAAACAAAACAAAGTTATGCTTCACTTAATTCAAATTTCTTGCTTTCAAAATAAAGAAATCATTGTATTTTAAGTTTATTACAGGAAAGAGTAACATTTTAAGATAAAAGGCAATAGAAACAACATTAAACATCAATCATATATGCACAATTTAGATAATGAATGCATATACATAAACTTAAGGACTGTAAGTATAATTAAGTATGTATGCCCCATTTGTAATGTTATATTTTTGAAGACTAGTCCAAATGCCACACTGATAAACGCTGATATGACGGGGTTCTGTGCCAAGCTACATCCATGGGGAAATGCCTATCGACATCAGTAATATAAAATCAGGCCCTAAGGGACCATGACTGTCTCTTCAAATTATTAAGGAAAACAGGTACATGCTTAAGCAACTCAATACAGTACAAAAGCAATATATTTCATCATAAATAATTAGTGTGCTGCTGTTAATTATAGTTACTAGAGTGAAAAGTACTCCTAAGAAAAATGAGAGCAACACTCATTTTTATGCCTTGAACTTAATTTTTAAAATGCCAGAAATTTCCAATACTTGTTTCCTTGGAGAAGCTACTTGTTTCCCTGGAGAAAGTTCTGCAGTTAACCTGCCTGGTGCCAGGGCTCATCTACAAAGACCCAGGCCCAGGACTGATGATCAACTCTCCATTCAGCCCTTCGAGATCACATGGACATTTACACAGCCTTCAGTCCCCTCACTCAGGGCATCTCATCCAAGGCATGAAATTCCCTTGGCAAGGACACACAGGAAGCCAAAGGCTTTCAAATATGCTGCATTGCCTTCAACTTTTAGAATATCCATCTATCTTTTAAATTAGGTGCCATCTGTTTTATCATCTCTGCCTAAATCATATTAAAATTTCTTGCCAGTATCGTACCGCTGTCGCATTCCTGGCTTGCCTGGAATTTGCAGGCTTCTTGCAGCATTCAAGTGGAACCTGCTATTTTAACTCATTTCTGTAATAAGGCATAGAGTGAGAGTCTAAAACACAATCCGTGTTAAGACTATCTCCACTTTTACTTGTAGAGTGAATAAGTGTACAGTTCAAACCTGGGATCATCCCTCCCAGTGTCCTAAAATACAGATTGGTTTGAGCCACTGCAGTTAGCCCAGCACCACGCTGTGCTAGGCTCAAATGGCGCTTGTACTGCTGTATTCACCTTGAAACTAAGTAGGCAGAATTTATTATTTGTGGAAGTCAAATAACTTCCAGGTTACACAGGCTTCATCCTTACATTATCACATATAGTCACAACAGAAGACAAATACAGGCAGACATATAGCTCATTTACAGGAGAAACCCATTTGCCGTCAGAGACAAGGGCAATGTAACAGCCAAGAACTGCAGTAAATCTCTTCCAGCTAATAGGCACATCAAACAATGCTCCCCTGAAATACTTCTCATGGAACAGATTGTATTCAGAATTTAAACAGCAGATCCACATTCATTCCTTAACATTTAAACATGATGCTTGCTAAGAAAATTCTAATTCATGATTTTTTTCTTTACTCCTTCTGTGCTTCAAAGCTGAGACTTACTATGCTTATCCAAGCATGCTAACAGAATTGGAATCTCTTAGAAATATCTCCTAGCACCTCTCAGCATGACTGAAAGGCATCTGCCAAGATTATATAGTATATAAGTAACTGAATCATGCAAAAATATTTACCCCCAAAAGATGTAGTAAAAGCTCAGCTTCCTCCAGCTTCCATAGCCCCTGAAGTGTTAATCTGAAGAAACAGTTCCATGAGTTTCCACAGGCCAGCAGTGAGTCTCCTACACTTGACCTAGACAGCCTTACATAACGAAGCATCGGTGCTAGGGAGCTTGCTGAATGTCATCACCAGCAAGAATAAGCATTGGCAGCAGCAGGCAGGCAGGCGGGCTGGGAGTTTGCACGGAAATCATGAACTCTTTCTTGCCTTTCTCCTTTCAAATGTTTTGCAATGAGAGTTATGAATCGTGCAGAACCTGGTCTCTCCCCGACCTCTTTTTAATTTCTTTCTTTCTTTGGTTGCTGCATGTGAAGAATGATCAGAAGCATAAAAGCTAAATCTTCCAGCAACTGCAAGCAGGACATTTCCTTGGTATTCGCAGGAAACCTAACAGGATGAATTGCTGCCTCTAAAATCCTGTACCAAAATACCCAAAAGGAAAGGACTGGGACAGCAAAGGGATGGCACAAAGGCTGCCTCTGAGAGCTTTTGTCTACCTTTAACTCATTGTGGTGAGTAGAGGGCAATGTATGTTTTTGGAGTGAAATATTAGTTGGGAGTGTGGGTGGTTTTGCACGATGGTACCGAAGTATTTGCAAAGACCCTTCCTGTTCCTTCAACACCTTTTTGCAAACAAGATGATATATTTTTACTCTCCTACATCAAATTAAGAATGTGGTAGGTTAAAATGATTGTGCTTAATGCAGTTCAACTTCCAAATTTTATCTGCCAATAATAAGAAAAACAGGCACCTGTCTCTAGTGGCTTCCAGATAGATCTAATGGATTACTTCTGTTGTCTGTACCTGAAAATAAGACCTGAATTCCAGCATCAGATTTTACATAAAATAAATCATTTTGTTTTAGATTTTGAAAACAATTTCTCAGAATACAGAAAAGGGATTACTGTTCTTTGGAGGTAATCTTTGCTAGATTCACTCTGAACTACCTGGGGAATACTTTATACAGCAAATTAAAAACAATGTGCTCTCAAGCTAACTTTCAATTATCTCAAATGTGTGCAATGCAAGTTACACTCTCAAGAGCTAGAAATAATAAATTAAGTCCATTCTTCCAACATGGGATTATTAATATAAATAGCATTATATTGTTTAATTATATATAAAACTGTGGTTTTATATGGATTGTGGGTGAAGACATATTCTTCCTGGGCAACAGAGATAGAGAAGTCATGCATCATTTAAAAATAATCTTAATGTTCTGCTCTTAGCTGGGAAGCTTTCTGCTAATGCATAACACTGAGAACAGAGTGAGGAAACAAGAGAAGTTAGGTGTGTGGAAGAACACGGTGATCTAATTCCATCTCCTTGTGGAACTCAGAGGGAAAGTGAAGTGGTGGGCTTAAGCTGACACAGGCGAAGAGGTGAGTGCATGGTGGTTTTCATCAAACTTGCACAGTGTTTTGCTATCATGCTACCATAAATAATTGTCTTTTAATGTTGGAGTGATGGCTTGCTGCACAGGGATTTTTTTTTTTTTTTATTAGTCATAGAAATGACAGAAAACAAAGCAGAATCGCACTAAAACATCTGCGTTTTGGCATTAGTCTGATTTTGGAAAAACCTGTTGTGTAGTTGAGCCAATGAGAATTTATTTCCCACCATTATAAAAAAGAAACATATTGGTGTGACACTTAATTAAATTCTAAGATTATGAAATAGTTTTCTGAACATCAAATGAAGTAAAGCATGAGTATGTTTCAAAGGGTTTTATTTTGTTCATGTTGATTGTGTTGCTAAGTGTTCTATGTCTTGGAGAGCTAACACAAGTCAAATAAAGAACTCATAGGAAGCAAAGACCTTGAAAGTAGAATGTTTTTATAAAGATTCTCTTTCAAATAAACTGAGCCCCTTGCAGTTAGGCACTGTTTCTTTTCTTTTCCTGAGATAGTGCTAAATTGGTTTTGAGTAAATATTAAATGAAAAAATGCAGGAGTGAAAAGTATTTGTATTGTGTTCAGGTAGGAGCTGGATCTACCATGATCTAGTAGAAGTCTTTGGAGGTGTCATTTTAAGTAGGATATAAGAATGTTTTAAAATTATATCAGCATAATAATTGACTAAGTAAATATTTTTTTCTGAAATACTTGTTTGGAAACTGTTAATTTTTTCTTTTTCTTTTTATATTGTTAGCATTCCCCTAATTAGGCAACTTGGCACTGATTTGGCTGCTCATAAGAGGTTGTCTAGTGTTGTCCGGATTAATCAAACACTGTACAAGTTTCTCTTTCTATGACATCATTAGTTCTGGATCACTTCAGAACAAATCTGTCAGATTCCTTGTCTTTGGGGTCGAAACTCTTTTTTCTTTTGTTTAAATCATCCCTAGCTCATTACTTCCATCATTCTGTTTGTTTTGCTTTGTTTTTCTGTTTTGAGGCACTGGAGATCAAATCCAGGACCTTATGCTTGCGAAGGTGTCCCCATTGAGCCACACCTAGCCCCTATCCTCTCATCTGTGATGTCATGATCTCAAAATAGCTCCTCCATGTCCAGCATGCTGATTATATTCTAGGCAAGAGGATGCAAAGGGCAGAAATCATAAGGAATGAGCCAGCTGAATCAATTCTTTCTCAAGAACTTTTCCAGAAAATGACTTAGAGACTGACTTATAGTTTATGATTTTTAACTGTGGAAAATGCCCAAGAATAATGGAGTATTTTAGCTAAGCCAAATGTCATCCTGAAGTGAAGTTGAGTTCTGTTTTTAAGACAAATAAGATACTCTTTCCTTTAACATATAGCTTAGGTTATTAATAAAATCCTAAAGCATTTCTCACAATCAAGATATCTAGATTGGTTTATATACCTCTAATACAAAAGCGATTTGATTTTACATCTGAACACTCAGTGGAAAAAGTATCTTATTTTGCAATGGAATGTTACTTGGTTAACACATGGGTCTGTGAGCACCGGGTCACCAAATGAATGCAAAGAGCAAATTTCAGACAGAATTGTATTTTTAAAGGAGAAAACAGTTTTTTCCCTGTTTCAACCCACACTCACCCCTAAATAAATTTGTATAATTTATTTGTACAAAGATTTTGACTATGAAACAATAAATGGATGGTGAATTAACACACCAACCCTCAGAATCTCTGTAATTACTAAGGAAAATGTGGTCTCATTACTTTAGAAACAGAGAACCCTGCAAAGGGTTTTTCTATTCCAGCTGTTTTCTTGCTGAACTCAGCAACACTGACAGGCATGTGGATCTCCCTGGCTGGTGCATGGAAGGGCTTATGATTTTCCCAATTTGGTTTCAAGAGTACTTCTCTAGAGAAGAAGGCATCCTTTGTATTGGGACAAGGAATAATCATGACAGTTTGGAAAGGACTGTGATCAAGATAGCTGCTCTATCCAAACACACTGGATTTGCAGAGTTTTGGGGGAGGCTAAATAAGAATTTTTCTAATTTTTGATGGTTAAAAAAAATGATTTCCTTAGTTTCTATTATACCTGATTCTCTATAGAAGATAGTCGACTTCTGGAACTATTACAATCACCTATTCAGAAATGTGTACACATTGCACTATCTCTTATTTCATTGAAAAGCCAGGGGGAGTTTGCATTTTGTGCTTGCAAAATATAGGTGAGGGAAATTCTGTGGAAAGCATCAGACTACAGTCAGCCTAAGACTACGAGATGAAAAGATATGTAGTAAGTAGCACATATGAATTTTCTAAAACACTGACTTAAGGGAGAACATCATTACAACTTTTTCCATCTTTCTGCACATTACTTTCTAACAGTGTACCACGTTTACCTAAAGGAAGAAAAAATAGTTATTTCTGAGTCCACTCAGTCATTACAGTACATTTTCAGTTATTTCAGGTTTAATCAGTAAAATGAGAGATTTTTACTTTCTCTGTTCATATTATTTATAGTAACATTGGCTTTGACAAAAAGATACATCAAATCTGTACAATTGAGCACAATGAAATTGTATTTCTTACTCATGTAGAGTTCTTCAGTTGTCCCTGGTTGGCAGATGGAATCCTTGTGATTATTCATGGATTGAAGACATTTAATATTGTAGCACCTCTTACCTGTAGGCATTCAGAGTCAGTTGATAGAAAAAGAGTTTATGAGGAATCTTACCTATCTCTCCAGACAAGAAATGTTGCATATGACTGGCTTATGTTTCAGTGAGAAATAGAAACATGATACCCTTTAAATGTAAGGGAAAGGTAAGACGTGTTTTCTAAAGCCTGACTGCCGCTTCCTAGAAATGAGATGAGTGGTGGTCACCAAGCTACCTCTGTCTACTCTTCTTTTTTACAGTTGAAAGTTTTTAGTCTTGAAAGAACAGTATGTTTTGTCAATGGTGTGTTTCCTGAGTTCAAATTGGAGGAGTGAGCGAAAAGATTATATATGTTGGGGAGGGAGATTTCTCTGCTCATTGATGATGTGATTGATTTTATTTTGCACCTTAAAATGCTATGACCTTCAATTTCTTCTCCACACAGAGATATAATAATTTTAACAGAGTTTAAAATTTCTACATCATAGTGCTTAGAATTTAGATTTCTTTGCATTTTAACAAACTGGGAAGGGTCTACAGGGTTGTATTTGTAGTGATCTGCCTGTTTACAGCCTCCTAAGAGCTGGGATTGCAGGCATGCGCCACCATGCTGTCTCATTTGCCCTCTCAGCGCCCTCTGGTGGTGGGGGTGGGGGTGGCATGGCAGGCCCAGAGAGTGAACCCTCCGGCCCCTGTGCCTACTTGCAGGTGCTTTAATCTGCTAAGCTATTTGGCTGGCCCAAAGCTATTTGGCCGGCCCAAAGGTGCAGGGACGGGGTTCCATCCCCAGTGTGCCATGCTGGTCCTGCTTCCAGGGCACGCTGAGACTGTGATTGAGACTGGACATGTTGGCACATGTCTGTAATCCCAGTGCTTGAGAGAATGAAAACAGGAGAATCATTACAAGTTCGATCTATGTAGTGAGACCTCTGTAGAACCTGTACTAATGCATTTTTAAAAAAATTGATGTAGTTTCATATACTACAGGGAATATGACTTACCTCTACAAACCTTTAAAACATAGTTTCCGAACCCACTACCCACTTTGACAGTAGAATTTAGCTATTGTTCAGCTAACATCTTGGATATTACTTCTGCAGAGTAGGCAGAATATCATATGCAGCAAAGAATATG